CGGGTTGGGGGCTGGGGCGGAGAATGCCGCAGCCCCTCTCTTCCCCTCCTCACCCCCCAGCCGCCCTGGTAAACCTTCCTCTTTCGACCTCGTCCACTTTCCTGTGGCAGCTAAAAGCGGTTAACCGCTGGCGCCGCAGATTCTAGTATCTGCATTTCACCTGGGATTTCCTGTAACCCGGCTTCGCTGGGTTCTGAAAATCAAAGGCGATAAGTGGCCTGAAACTGCGGTACAGCACATTGTGTGAGAATCTAAGATCAGCAAGGCATCAGTACTTATTTTTTACAATGTTTTCTATTGATTTTTAGAGAAAGGGAGAGAGAGAGAAACGTCCACGAGAGGAACATCATCATTTGGCTGCCACCTGCACACTCCCTGCTGGGGATGGAGCGGGCAGCCCGGGCTGGTGCTGTGACCTGGAGTTGAACCTGCGCCTCTTGGCTCCCGGGTGGAAACCCAGCTGCTGAGCCACACCTGCCGGCCAAGGCATCCGAGCTCAATGGCCCTGGGGCGGGGGGTTCAGGCTCAGACTGTGCCAACCCGTGGCCTTAAATAAGGGTCTGCAGACTCCTTCCTTCTTCACAGCTATGGGTTTTGGTCATTATAAAAGAATTGAGAGGCGACGGAAATCTGCACAGATTATTTTAAATTTTAATAAACCAAAAGAGGTTCGTTAAGAACAGCTGGCCTGGAACATGATAGGTACACACTGGGAAATGATGGTCTGACCCCGGTGCTGGCTTCCGTCGTCCATTAATGAGCCCCTGCTTCTTTGCATTATTCATTATTCAATTCCGTACAGCCTTGCAGTGGGGATTATTACTGAGCGCCTGTTTGCCGGCTCTAGCTTTGAGAGTACAGCACTAATAAGGGAACACCCCTGTCAGATTGGAATAGAGCCAGTAATGCAAAATGGAGAGAACCTTAGTTGAGTTTAAAAAAAATTTTTGTCTTCCGCCAGCCACAGCTTATTCAATAAAACAACTGTTTATTGAATGCCTGCCGTGCTGCTAATGATAGATGTATAACAATCACTTTCTACCCTCATGGAGCTTATAATCTAGTAGAGTTGATAAAATACACAAAATGAAAGCATAAAAACCAAGGAGGTTACAGAGTGCTGTGGACTTCAGAGGAAGAATTTACATCGGTGGCGATGTGGGACCAAGCAGTGTCTGTGAAATATTTATCACAGAGCCTGAACAACGTGGGTTAGGTACTCTTATGGGGTGAGTTAAAGGATGCTTGTTACAGATGTGGATGTCCAGGGAGAGTATTCCAAAAGAGGCAGTATGGGGTATGGAAGAGATCCCAGTAGTGTGGTCCAGCTAAACTATATCTGTATCTATATCTATATATCTACTAGAGGCCCGGTGCACAAAAATTTGTGCACTGGGGGGGGGGGGGGCGGGCGGGTCCCCCAGCCCGGCCTGTGCCCTCTCGCAGTCTGGGACCCCTCGGGAGATAACGACCTGCTGGCTTAGGCCTGCTCCCGGGTGGCAGAGGGCACGCCCAATCCCTAGGTGCAGCCCCTGGTCGGGCTCAGAGCAGGGCCGATTGGGGAGTTGGGGCACCACCCCGTCATGCACAGAGCAGGGCGGATCGGGAGGTTGCGATGCCACCCTCAGTCATGCTTAGGGTAGGGCCGATTGGGGGGTTGGGGCACCGTGCCCTGTAACACTCAAGGCAGGGTCGATGGGGAGGTTGCGGCGCCACCCCCTGTCACGCACAGAGCAGGGCCGATCAGGGGGTTGGGGTGCTGCCCCCTGTCACTCACAGAGCAGGGCCAATCAGGGGGTTGGGGTGCTGCCCCCTGTCACTCACAGAGCAGGGCCCATCAGGGGGGTTGGGGCTCCGTACCCTGTCACACACAGAGCAGGGTCAATAAGGGGGTTGGGGAGCTCCCCCCTGTCACGCACAGAGCAGGGCCAATCGGGGTTGAGGAGCTCCCCGCTGTCACTCACAGAGTAGGGCCGATAGGGGAGTTGGGGCACCGCCCCCTGTCACACACAGAGCAGGGCGGATCAGGGGGTTGGGGCGCTACACCCTGTCACACTCAGGGCAGGGCCAATGGGGAGGTTATGGCTCTACCCTGTCACACACAGAGCAAGGCCCGTGGAGGGGGGTTGGGGCGCCACCCTCTATCACCCACAGAGCAGGGCCGATCAGGGGGTTAGGGCACCGCCACTGTCACACTCAGAGCAGGGCGGATAGGGAGGTTGTGGCCCCACCCCCTGTCACACACAGAGCCGCAGGGCGATCAGGGGGTTTGGGCGCTGCCCCCTGTCACGCTGATCCAGTGCCAGGAGGCCTCGCGGCTCCGCTGATCCCAGTGCTGGGAGGCATATTACCCTTTTACTATATAGGATAGAGGCCTGGGGGCCGGCTGGTTTGCCCTGAAGGGTGTCCTGGATCAGGGTGGGGGTCCCCACTGGGGTGCCTGGCCAGCCTGGATGAGGGGATGATGGCTGTTTGCAGCTGGTCACACACCCTTCAGGGTGGGGGTCCCCACTGGGGTGCCTGGCCAGTCTGGGTGAGGGGCTGAGGGCTGCTTTCAGGCTGGCGATTGACTGAAGCTCCCAACCGCTCCTTTTTTTTCTTTTTTATTCTGGGCCAGCTTTAGCTCTGGCTCTAGCTCTGAGGCTTCCGCTGCTGAGCGTTCTATAATCGAAACAATGTATAACTCCAGCTCTGAGATCCCAGCCGTTTGCTTAGCTTCTATATTTGTTACAAAGTTTCAAACTGCCAGCTCAGAGGCCGGCAAGTCAGGCAGGGAACGTTGCAGTCTGCAGTCACTGAAGCAAACAAGCCTCATGTTCGCTTCCAGCTGCCTGGCTGCCGGCCGCCATCTTGGCTGACAGTTAATTTGCATATATTCACTGATTAGCCAATGGGAAGGGTAGCGGTCGTATGCTAATTACCATGTTTCTCTTTTATTAGTGTAGATATCTATATCTCTATCTATCTATCTCTCTATCTATCTATATGCCGGAAGC